TTTAAAATAAGGTCGCTCTCCACAGGATGATGGATGCTATGGTTGGTGCGTAAAGCGCTCTGTCAGATAACGTCTTTCGACCTTCCCCAGAAGTGGGCGGCACTGGTGCGTACTCACGCTGGGGTGCATCAGCCACTGTCAGTGAGTAGTGTAGGGGCCTTTGAACGCCAGACCTTGGGTACCCACCACCACCACCAGGCGCGGCCAGGACAGCGCAGCCAGTCCCCTGCTCTGGGAAGAAGATGCCGAGCCGCTCCCACCCACCGCTCACCTGGGCCAGCAGTGCGTTGCACACGAGCTGAAGCCTGTCCGGGGTGATGTCCACCGGCACGTCGAACGGGGCGCCCAGCAGTTGCCCCCCCTCATCCTGGAACTGCACTAGCAGCCGCTGCACGTCCCGCGCGACCGCCTCGCCCTGCGCAGACACGCGGGGCGGGGGGTCAGCCACGCTGCCAGAAGGGGCGGCCCCCGCTTCCTCCTCCCTCCGGGGCTTCAGGGACCCCGACAGCTCACAGCTGCCGGCGCCCCCGCCCTATTCACGCACACCCACCGCGACAGCTGCCGCCATCCTGCGTCTCCACGTGGAGAAAGACTCTGGCAGGACAGAGCGTCGCCCCCGTGGACAGGAGGTGATGCAGCTGGTGACATTGCCCTCTGGTGGTCTGGAGGGGAAGTGTCGCGCCCGTCCTGGCCTAGGGCTGGCAGTGGGCTCACCTGGCGGTACTCACCTCAATTCAATAGCCGCCTCCAACTCAATCTCTCCTGGTGCCTTAGGGATACAGACAACCTTTTGACTCTTAGAACAGGGATTCTTGCTCCATTTTATGGATGCAGAAACTGAGATTCTGAGATGTTAAATGATTTTCCCCAAAATCAGAAATAGAGCAGTGCCTGAAACATTGCTATCATCATCATCATTACTGCTTTACAATGTTGATAATGGTAGAAATATTTTGCTTTTGTACTCAACAAGTTTTAACTGAGTTGATCTATTTAAAGAATGATAATTTCTGCCCTCAATTCAGTAATTGTCTCTGGCTTTGTAAAACTCTCCTACAGGGGTTCTGCTTCCTGCAATCCAGCCTATTCAGAAAACGGCAGAGGAGCCCATGTTATAGATGAGGAACCAGAGCAGGGAGCGAGGAACATGATCTCTCTCACCAGAAACCTGAAGATCTCCCTTGGCCACTCTCCTCTTTCCTCACAGCCAGGCAGTCCCAATCCGTGTCCATCTGGTCTCATTAATATATTCTGCATCCATTCACTCACTCTGTTCTGAGTCACCACCATTTCCTGCCTGGACCAATACAGCAGGCTCCTGATATACCTCCCTATTTCCATTCTTGCCTGCTGCAGCCCATTCTCCACACTGTGGCCAGAGTGAACTTTTCAAATTGAAATTCTGGTTCAATATTCCCTCTCTAAAACCCTGAAGTGGCTCCACTTTACACGTAGGAAAACACCAAACTTCTTATAGTGGCCCACTCAGTCTTGTGTACCTCTCCAGACAACTCTGTCTTCCAAGGCATGACCTTGCCTGTCTCAGTGCTTTCCATTTTAGATTTTGTCTTTCTGAAGCAGTTTCTCATTCTTTATTCATTCATTTATTCAACAAATTTATATTGAGCACTTGCTCTCTGCTAAGCACATGCTCTACGGGCTCTACATATATTAACTTACTTAATCTCTTAGGGAAGGAGCTCTGGTAATATAGTGGTTAAGGCATTCGGCTGTTAACCATAAAGGTCAATGGTTCAAGCCCCCTAACCTCCATGGAAGAAAGATGAGGCAGTTTGCTTCTGTAAAGATTTATAACCTTGGAAACTCAATGGGGGGTCACTATGAGTTGGAATCAACTCAATGGCAGTGAGTTTGGTTGGGTTTTGTTATAGTCTTTTAGGGAGAAACATGTAGCAGTCTGCTTCTGCAAAGATTTACAGTGTTGGAAACACTATGGAGCAGTTCTACTCTGTCCATAGGGTCGCTATGAGTTGCAGTCGACTTGAAGGCAATGGGTTTGGTTTCAGGAATCATTTACTCAAGAAAACCTCTGAGACTAGGTCATGGTGCCCTGTTGTATATTTCCAAAACATCCTGGTATTCATCACACTTAGAAATAACTGACCCTTAAAATTATGTCATCCAATCATTCAACAAATATTGAGCACCTACTATGTACCACCCACTGTTCAAAGCACTTGGAGTATATAAGTGAACAAAACAGACACAAATTGTTATCCTCCTAAGTGTTCTATGCTTCTGTTATCATTCACAATTCTTGCTATATAATGGGTGCTTAAGAAATGCTTGTGCAATGAATGACTCACTCAGGATTTGCATCTAGGATTACTGGGACTTAAACTCACGGAAGTGCAGTTGTCTGCCAATGCCAGCATTCTTTATCATATTATCTTGCTGCTACAGAGGGGCATGCCCTTAAAAGGGCCCAGGGCTTGGGACACCACTATGTAGGCGCAGAATTCATCCATCCATCCATTCATTTATTCATTCATGCACCAAATGTGTCAGGGTTACCCTTTGTCCAGGAGGACAGTAGAACTTGTCTAAGGTCACATAGTTGTGTGTCCAAGGTCACAGAGCTAAGAGCAGAATCCAGTGTGGATGATTCCAACCTATGCTTTTTTCTTTCTTTCTTTTTTTTAAATTGTGATTTGGGTGAAAGTTTACAGAGCAAATTCACTTTCCATACAGCAGCTCACATATATTTTGTCTCATGACATTGACTACAATTTATCGCAGTACAACAGCTCTCCTCCCACTTCCTCCCAATAGTTACCTCTTCCCTGTGTCCTTCCCTCCATGCACTCCTGCCCCCTGAGCTGTCTCCCTGTGCATAAACAGCCCCTCTTTCTCCCATTATTGTTCTCTCCAAGGAGTATATCTCCCTAGTGTAAATGTTCACTTCATATGCCTGTCGTTTGTTTGGCTGGAAGCCACAGGTGTGGGTTCAATTCCAGACCTGGAGGGCAGCTAGGGACCATAGTCTCAGTGGTTCAACCAGGCTCTATCAGACCAGCAAACCTGGTCCTTTTTTTTCCCCAAATGATTTTGAGTTTTGTTCCACACTGTTCTCCCTCTCTATCCAGGATCTCCTCCATAGATCCCCCTCCAAGAGGTTGACAGTAGTAGCCGGGCACCATCTAGTTCTTCTGGTCTCATGGTCATCTTTTGCTTTTTTCTTTAGTCTCTTTCTCACCCCCTTCAGGTAAGTTTACAGATATATTGGGGGTGGGGCAGGGGAGAAGAATGCTGGTGAGTAGAGCAAAGCATTAGCATGAAGATACTATTCATTCATTCATTCATTCAAGAAGCATGCATGGGCACTGATGTCTGCCAGGCCCTGTGCCAGGGAAGCCAAGCTGCATGAAATGCAGCTGTTGCCTTCTGGGAGGGGCTCACAGTCCAGACATGGGGGACATTGAAAGGCAGGAAGAATCCTGAGTCCAAGTAAATTTGCCTCAGGAACCTTCAGTCTCTTGGGAAGAAACACCAATTCCTGCCCCAGTCGAGTCCCCTCTCTGATGGTGAATACATAGTACATGCCTCAAGGAAGACCCCCTTCTGATGAGGGATATGCAGCTTGTGCTGAGGGTTGCCATTTGGATGGGGGTGGGGTGGATACAGTCCTTGGTGTCAGGGAAGTCCCAGTCTGACTCGGCTCTTGCCCTGGAAGATTGCTGTCTGATGGAGGATGCAGGGAGCTGCCAGTTTGATGGGAGAGGCAGGCTGCCACTCCAGTAACTGGGTACAGATGGAGATGAGCAGGAGACATGAGGCAGAAACAGTCCATTTACACTAAAACTGAGTTAGCAAGTCATGCTGGTCTTTCTGAAAAGCAAGGACATTTTCAGCAAGTGAAGGCAGGAGAAATCAGGGAGCTGTAGACAATTGGAAAGGAGCCTGGTGGCACAGTGGTAAAAGCACTCAGCTGCTAACCCAAAGGTTGGCAGTTCTAACCCACCAGCCTGTCCATGGAAGAAAGATTAGGCAGTCTGCTTCTGTAAAGATTTACAGCCTTGGAAACCCTATGGGGCAGTTCTATTCTGTCCTACAGGGTCCCTATGAGTTGGGATCAGAATTGACTCAAAGGCATTGGGTGGGTTTTTAGGTAAATGGAAGAGTGAAAGGAGCTTTCCTCTCCCTTCCCTCCCTCCTCTCCCCAGAAAGACATTTCTCGAAGTCTCCAGTTGATAGGACCCGAGCAGCTGCTCTGTGTGTCCGAGTCTGCCAGACCCTCAGCTGTCACTCCGCTGCTCCCAAAATAGCAGTGGGATGGAGGTGGAGAAGGGGTGTTATAGATGTGCCTAGGGAGGGGAGGTCAGCTTAGGGGGGTTCCCATCCCTCCTGGATCTTTCTTTTTCCCTTTGGGGTGTGAGTGCCCGAACCCCCAGGACTGGCCCTGAGTAAAGTGCTCAGGAGGGGCTGGTCAGTCTTCCCACGTGGTAATGACTGCCTTGTCTGGAGAGGGGGAGGGCCCTGAGTATCAATGACACACTGCAGGGCCACCTGCCTCCATGGCCAAATTTGGTCTGGGATCACTGGCAAGGGCGATAAAGTCTCCTGCGTGGGGGCTGGGAGGGAGCAGACCAGGTTGGCTGGCTGGAGGCTCACAGCACTTGAGCACAGATCCAGAGCTCTGAACTCGCTGAGAAAGTGAGCTGGGCCCAGGAGTGTTCCTTAAGCTGGGGAGGGAGACGAGGGAGCTTAGGCCTCTGGAGTGAGGGCTTCACTTGCCAGGTGGAGAGGGACAGAGAACAAAGTACAGGGACTCTGAGACCCCTCTCAACCTGGGCCATGCTGTGAGGTTGTCCGTGGGAATGGAATCGGGAGTCCTGGGGGTGGGTCCCCTCCAGGCAGAGTCGTCACCCAGAAGAAGTCTCCTGGAGGAGGAGAGGAGCCTGGAGCTGCACTCAGGCCAGAAGCCCAACCCTCGGCAGAGAGTGAGGGCCTGGGGAGACTGAGCCCTTCCTCTCCCACAGATGGCGGAGGCCGAGGCAGTGCAGCTGAAGGAGGAAGGCAACCAGCAGTTCCAGCGCCAGGACTACAAGGCAGCGGTGAAGAGCTACAGCCAGGCCCTGAAGCTGACCAAGGACAAGGCCCTGCTGGCCACGCTCTATCGGAACCGAGCGGCCTGTGGCCTGAAAACGGTTTGGGCCAGGGCTGGGGTGGCCAGATTCTATGATCCCAGCCCTCTCACCTGGACCCCTCAGGCTGGAGGGGGATACCTCCCATTCCTTTCCTTGAAGGGACAACCCTGGCCCACCCCTTTGTAGAGTCCAATAGAGACAGAAATTCGTCAGATCTGAATCAGCCTAATGAAAACAAAGATCTCTGGGCCAGGCCCCAGGCCAGGTGCTCATAGCATCTTAACAATAGTGAGGTACCCAGATCTGCCCGATGTCAAAGCTCATCCACTCTTCCATGGCAGCCAGGGGAACTCTCCTCGGCCTCAGTGTTGCTCCCACAGCAAGCCCCTCCCCTCACTGCGAAGACACTGGTTGTCTCCACATTGGGCCCACATTAATCTTGTCTCCTTCCCCATTTTGCAGGAGAACTATGTTCAGGCAGCTTCTGATGCTTCAAGAGGTGAGCTACCCCTGTTTGCCCTTGCCCTCACCCCCCCCACACACACACTCCCATTTGCCCACCGAGTCCCTGGTTCCGTGCCCCTGACATGAGCAGGAATTACTGATTATATAAATGCCAGTCTGGCAATGTAAGGAGAGCTTCAGCGGTTTCATCCTTTAGTCACGTTTTTGCAAGTTGAATTACATGTTAACTGTGTTGGGGCAGCTCTCTTTCTGGAAGGAATGTTTCTGGGAATCCTTTGGTCACAGTCATGGACACTTCCTACTTTGTCGGGGGAGGTAGAAGATGTTCATCCTGGGGCTCCCCAGAAATACGTCAGTCAGTCCAGTCCACACCTTGGGACCGAGGGCTGGCTATGATGCTATGACCAGCAGCCTCAGGGTGAGGCACTAGCCTGTTCCACAGACACTGGGGAGAAATAAATTTAAGTCAATGTTGGCAACTGAATGCCTCCAGTTCTGTGAGCATGCCGACTTACGCCCATGATCCAAACCGGAAGATTTCACTGGGCTGCATTTTTAGGGAAGTAAGGTACAGAACGGAGGAGGTTCACCCCTGCACTGGTCTGCTTGAGGTTTGATCCTGGTTATTACTATTTTTTTGGAGAGGCAGATGGTCCACGGTGAGTTTAGAAGGGAGGAAACCAGCCTGAGAAGGGACTAGAAACCTGTCATGTGAGCAGTTGAGGGAAGTGGCAATATTTAGCCCAGAGAGGGGAACTCCCAGGTGGGATGGAGAGCTGCCTTCAAAAACCTCAAAGACTTTCACAAGGAGGAAGGATTGGATTTCATCTGAGGGTTCCAGGCCTGGCTTTAGGACAAAAGGACAAAGTCATAGGGAGATATATTTCAGGTAGGAGGAGAGAAGGGCTTTCTGATGAAGCTGCCTGGCTGCCTTGAGAAGTAGGGAGCTCCCGGTTGTGGGACGTAGCGTCAGTGGGATGAGCACTGGCAGAGATCACATAGCAGGAACTCCACCTTGAAACTCTGGGATTTTTACTGTCTCTGTAATTTAGGGAGCTGTGGGCGAGCTAGCCCAAGGGTGGATAATCTCTAAGGAAGACACAGAGGTCAGGCAACAGCAAGGTTGCTGGAGTTGGGGGTCTTGGGGGTGGGGGTGAGTGGCCTGGAGCCTGGCCTCCTAAGGCCCTGGCATCCCTCTCACTAGCCATAGACATCAACTCCTCGGACATCAAGGCCTTGTATCGGCGATGCCAGGCCCTGGAGCACCTGGGCAAGCTGGACCAGGCCTTCAAGGACGTGCAGCGCTGCGCCACTCTTGAGCCAAGGAACCAGAACTTCCAGGAGACACTGAGGAGGCTCAACACCAGCATCCAGGAGAAGGTGAGCCTGCCCCCTTCCCAGAAACCTTGCTTGCCCCCACCCATTCCTTGCAGGAACAATGAGGTAGGGAAGTGAGACATCAGGACACAGCTAGCCTTACCTCCACCACACTCTTTGGTGAAGAAACAGGTGCCACGCAAGCAGGCTCCCCAGAAGAGCTGAGCACTGGATCTCACTGAGTGACCAGAGGGAGCAGTGGCTTCTCTAAAGGCACAAACCAAGCCCACTGCTATCAAGTCAATTCTGACTCATCATGACCCTATAGGACAGAGTAGAACTGCCCCCTAGGGTTTCCACGGATGTAAATCTTGAACCAGACTGCTTCATCTTTCTCCCTTGGAGCAGCTGTTGGGTTTGAACTACCAATCTTTTGGTTGGCAGCCAAATGCCTTACCCACTGTGCCACCAGAGCTCCTTCTGAGGGCACAAGCCAGATTAGACTCCAGATAGAGATTTTTTTTTTTTTAAACTATAAATTAGTAGTAGTCAAAGCTATGATCTCCTCTTACTAGGACAAAGGTGTGAGATACCTGGGAACTGGGGAGTATCGATGGGAAGTAGAGGAGAGCCAGGAGCCAGGAGGGACATGAGACCCTAGGAAAAAGGAGTAGGGTGGGGAAAACCTGCCTGGGAGGTGAGGCACCTGCCCCCTAATCCTGGCTAAGCTACCAATTTTCTGAGTGCTCCCTTGGGGTGTCAGGTCCCTCCCTGTAAGAGCAGTAGGGTAATTGATCACTTAGGTCCTTGCTCCAAGGCTCAGTAACTCCCATGTATTGGGCAGCCCTGTGGTGAGACCATAGCATGCTGTCCAGACTCATCTCAGGACACACCAGTAAAGGAGCAATCAGAGAAGGGGTGGGAGAATAAGAGACCATGAAAGAAAATGAACCCCAGGATGGAATGGTGGAGGGTAAGGACTGGCAGAACACGGTGGTGGGAGGTACAGAAGGATCTAGTGAGAGGAGGAGTTATGATCAACTAGGTCATTTCATAGGTGATTCAGAGCACTGGGGTTGGGCTGGGCAGTGGAAGGGACTAGAATTCCAAACATAAGATTTTAATTTGCTTGAGCAGGTGCTTAGAAGTGGTTTCAAGTTTCTGACCCTGGAGACCTATTTCTGTTTTAGCCCATATTTTAAAATTTCGTAACTAATATTAAATGTACTACATTGGTGGTTCAGGGTAGAACTCTCACCTTCCATGTGGGAGATCTGGGTTCAATTCCTGGCCAATGCACCTCCTGCACAGCCACCTCCTGGGCTGTCTTGGAGGCTTGGGTGTTGCTATGATGCTGAACAGGTTTCAGTAGAGCGACCAGACTAAGTTGGACAGAAGAAAGGCCTGGTAATTTACTTCCCAAAATTGGCCAACAAAAACTCTATGGGTTTCATTCAGTTGTGCACAGCGTCACTAGGATTCAGGGCCGACTCAGTGGCAACTAACAACAATTGTTATCTAGGCTCTAAAATGGAAGTAATGATACAATAGTTGTTTACTAGAGTTTAAAACTGAGGTAATTATAAAACAGTTGCTTACTAGACAACAAAACTGAGGTAATGATCCCTTCTAAGACTGTTGCAATGATCACAAAACTACACTGCAAACTGTGGACAAGGATGAGGTTTTGTCTGCCATTCTATCCCTGGTGTCCAGAACACTGCTTGGCAGTATTTCTTTAGTAGATATTTGTTAAATGAATGAATGAATGGGCTAGGGCCCAGAGTAAACCAAAACAAAACCAAACTCACTGCCATCGAGTTGTTTCTTACTCATAGCAACCCCTCCTTGGCTTTCTGAGGCAGTATCTCTACAGAAATAGGTTGCCCAATCTTTCTTCCAAGGAGTGGCTGGTGAGTTTGAACCTCCAGCCTTCTAGTTAGCAGTCAAATGCCTTAGGTACTATGCCACCAGAGTTCCTAGGGCTCAAAGTAGATACCATAATATTTATTATGCTGAACTTTATGGAAAGCAAGTTGAAATAATGCAGACACTTGCCTGTCTCCCCACCTCCTCAGCTCAGTGTGCAGTTCTCTACAGACTCGAGAGTACAGAAGATGTTTGAGATTCTCCTGGACGAGAACAGTGAGGCTGAGAAGCTGGAGAAGGTGAGTGCTGGGTAGTGTCAGCCAGCTAGCAGAGAGCACTCTCTGGGCCCATCAGGTACTCCTCCTGTAGGCCCTACCCCTGGTCTCTGGACTCCCACCATGTTGGGGGTGCACGGGGAGATATGCCCTTAAAGAATAAATCCAAAAAAACAAACTCACTGCCGTCGAGTTGGATTTGACTCATAGCAACCCCTCCTCAGGTCCAAGGAAGTATCACTACGGAAGTAGATTGCCCAACCTTCCTTCTGAGGAGTGGCTGGTGGGTTTGAACTGCCAGCCTTCTGGTTAGCAGTCAAATGCCTTAGGCATGGGCAGGAAAATTGGCTTAGCAGGTTAGAAAACAGAGCAGTGGACTAAAGGGCCAGGATTAGAGTGAGTAAAGTGAGGTGCATCATCAATGAAGAGTTGGTTCCTGTCTTATTTAAACTTTTATGTTTTGTTCAATCATAGATTTTTTTTAATAATTTTGATTTTTTAAAAAATATCGTTAAATGTTATTTACCTTCATTTCTGAGTTTTTGGCACTTCCTTAGAATTTTCACCCAAGGTGAGTGCCTCACCTGCCTCACCTTAGTCCCAACCCAGAGAAACAATGACATGTTAAAATAGTGTTTTACTCCATTTAAAAACATCACAAAAAGTCTTTTTGAATTATTAAAATATTTACTCATAATATTCCTCTTACCCAAATTTGTTTCATTGTTTTTAATGTTCCCATCTAGTCCTTCAAAGGAAAAAAAAAAAAAAATTAAACATTTCAGTCTTACATTTTTAAGAACTTGACAGGCAATGCCTGGGGAGTTTTTATTGGTTTTATGGTCAATAAATCCATATAATATGCAAATGTATTCTATAACAGTCTGTCATGAGGATTTAATGAGTTGCTAGAGATAAAAAAATAAATGAATAAAATGTTTGAAAAGTCTAAACCCTTCACTGATGACTGGAGCGTGATGGTGCTTCCGCTCCAACTGACCTGAAATCCTCTCCCATTTGTGTTTCCACCTCACCCCTCTCCTGCCCCACAAGTCCTTCCCTCAGCCCTCCATTCTCAGGTCCTGCTTGTTCCCTCCCACTCCAGATCTAGGGGCATTTAAGGTACAAGTGTCCTCAAGTAGAAAGAAGACTTTAGTGTGGGGCTGGACTTAGGAACCTTCTAGCTCCACTGCCTGATTTAACAGATAAGGGATCTGGGACCCAGAGAGGTGGTATGACTTTCCCAAGGTCACACAGCTAGCATGGAGCAGAGCCAGAACTCAAACCCAGGGATTTCTAGTCTCACCCAGTTTTCTCCCTCTCCATCACCCTCCACCTTCCTGAGAACCACTACAACTCAGGTTTCCCTGAACAGGTAATGATGACAAATGATGACAAAATCATCCTAAAGGACCTTCTAGAGGAAGATTTAAAAGGGAAAAGAATTCTCCATGTGAAATTCTTCATTTCTCTACTTTTTTATTAGTCCTTATCCATGCACAAATACAGGTTGACTTTGACATAAATGCAAGTTTACATTGGAAGTGAGCACATGATTCTGGTTCTGCTTACCAATGTTTTTTCCAAGTTGTTCTGTTATCTTTATGACTTTAATGGCTGCGGTATATTTCATCAAATTGGTCTTTATGCAAGTTACTTTGTTTCCTCTTTTCAATTATATTCTTGGGCTATGTGTCCAGGAGTAAGATTATAAATTCAAGGATCTGAGGGTATTTTGAAGACCCCATCCTTGGAACAGCCTTTGTACATGGCCCAGGGTCAAAGTCTCGGCAGCCATACCTCCCTTAAGACCTTCATTGTCTCCTCCTTCCTTCAGGCTGCCAACAACCTCATTGTCCTTAGCCGTGAGGATTCGGGCGCTGAAAGGATCTTCCAAAACAACGGAGTGGCCCTGCTGCTGCAGCTCCTGGACACTAAGAGGCCTGAGCTGGTGCTCGCTGCCGTGCGGACCTTGTCGGGCATGTGCACTAGCCACCGATCTAGGGTGCGGGCCAGGTGTGGGGGTGCTTGTGTGGGGTGGCTGCCCTCCCAAGGATCTGGAGAATAACACGTGGGCAGGGCTGTGGCTGGCATACGTAGATTGAAGCAAAGTCTAACGTGTTCCCCTTACCTTGGTTGTATGACTTTAGATTCAACAGAGAGTGAGCCCCTCCATTTTCTTTGAACTAGAAATGAGTTTCACTAAGCAAAGGTAGCATAGTGGCTAAGACACTTGCCTGCTAACCACACGGCTGGCGGTTCAAACCCACCAGCCACTCCTCGGAAGGAAGGTTGGGCAATCCTACTTCTGTAGTGATACTGCCTCGGAAACCCAAGGAGGGGTCGCTATGAGTCGGATTTGACTCGACGGCACATAACAACAACACAACAACAAGCAAAGGTGGTGTTTTTGTTGGGTGCCGTCAATTTGGCTCTGACTCAGCAACCCCATGTACAACAGAAGGAAACACTGCCCAGTCCTACACCATCCTCACAGTCTTTGCTGTGCATAAGCTCCTCGTTGCAGTCACTGTGTCAATCCATCCCATTGAGGGTCTTCCCCTTTTTCACGGACCTTCTACTTTACTGAGCATGATATCCTTCTCCAGAGACTGGTCCTTTCTGACAACATGACCAAAGTAGGTGTGATAAACTCTGGCCATTCTTGCTTCTAAGGAACATTCCGGCTGTGCTTCTTCCCAGACCAATTTGTTTGTTCTTCTGTCAGTCCATGGTATTTTCAGTATTCTTTGCCACCACCACAATTCAAATGCATCAATTCTCTTTTGATCTTCCTTATTCATTGTCCAGCTTTCACATACATATGAGGCTATGTTTGCAGTACCATGGCTTGGGTCAGGTGCACCTTAGTCTTCAAAGTGACATCTTTGCTTTTTAACACTTTAAAGAGATCTTTTGCCGATTTACCCAGTGCAAAGCAAAAGTAAGATCATTGAAAGTGGTTTATGAAGAAGAGCTGAAAGCAAAGACTATGAGGAAGGGAGGTGAGAGTGGTCCAGATGGAGGGAGGGGACACTGATGTCTCTGGACAGCAAAGATGCCCCTCTTTGTCTGCTCTTGGGTGGGAGGAGGAATAGTCAAGTTTGAGAGGGAGGAGCCAACGCTATCTTACAGAAATGTAATGTGAGCCAAGTGTGTAATTTTAAATTTTCTTATGGTCACGTAAAAAAGTAAAAAGAAATGGCTGAAACTAATTTTAACAATTTCTTCTTTAACCCAATACATCAGAAATGTTATTTCAACATGTAATTAATATAACAATTCTTGCTGAGCTATTTCACATTCCTTTTTGTGATAGTGTGGTTGTTGTTAGTTGCTGTTGAGTCAGTTCTGACTCATGGCAGCCCCGTGCGTCACAGAGCAGAATTGCTCCATAGGGCTTTCTTGGCTATAATCTTAACTAAAGAAGATTGCAAGGCCTTTTCTTCCACGGTACCTCTGGGTGGGTTTGAACAGCCAACCTTGAGGTTAGCAGTCCATTGCAAACTGTTTGTGCTACGTAGGGACTATTTATCTTGTCTTGTCTTGGACTGTTTGACTAAGCCTTCAAAATCCTGTATGTATTTGACACTTACGGCATGTCTCAGTTTGGACTCCCCATATATATTGCAAATGCCCAACTACTCCATGTTGCAGGTGGCTACACTATTGGATAGCACAGCTCTAGACCTCTGGAAAGGGGCGTGGCCTGTGCCAAGGGTCCTCCCAGACCATTGGCCCCTTGAGAGGCACTGACTACCTGGGCTTATTTCCCTATTGCATGGGGATGGGGTGGGGGCAGTTGTCATCCACTTCTTAGCCTGCATGGCAGCCAGAAGGGAGGGGTAGGGCAACTAACTGTTGTTCCTGCTGGGGTCTAGGCCACAGCAATTCTCCACACAGTCCGGATAGACCAAATCTGTAGCCTCATGGCTGTAGAGAACGAGGAGATGTCTCTGGCTGTTTGCAACCTGCTCCAGGCCATCATTGACTCCTTGTCTGGGGAAGACAAGCAAGAGCATCGAGGGAAGGAGGAGGCCCTGGTTTTGGGTAGGAGACAATCTTTAGTTTTGGTTCAAGGAGGTGGGGAAAAGGGAGCCAGTCACCACCTCAGACTGGTCATTCCCTGTAAGTGGAGGGAGCCTGGTTTTATTTTTCCAACCCGTTTATTTTCTAATTATGAAAGTAGCTGGTGCTTACTGGATACATCTGGGAAAATATAAAAATATGTAAAGATTTTTTAAAAAGTCTTTAATCATTCCTTTCAGATCACCGCCATTAACAGTGACGTGTGCATCACATCACTGGTCTTTTCTCTATCCATCCATAGAGTTGATAAAAGTGGAACTCTACTATGGATCATTTTGCGACCTTTTGTTTATTTCTTTACTGAGCATTATATTTGAGTATTGCATACTATTAATATCCTTAAAAAGATTTGTTTTGGCTTTAATAATGATTAATGTTATGTTTATTTCATTCCTACATATATGCATATATGTATATATATACATACCTATCTTTGCATTTCTGATTTGTTCACTGGAATGTTGTCATTGTTAGGTGCTGTCGAGTCAGCTGTGACTCAAGTGACCCTGTGCACAGCAGAAAGAAACACCACTCAGTCCTGCTCCAGCCTCACAATCCTTGCTATACCTGAGCCCATTGTTGTAGCCACTGTATCAATCTACCTCATTGAGAACCTCCCTTTTTTTGTTGACCCTCCATTTTACCAAGCATGATCCTTCTCCAGGGAATGGTCCCTTCTGACAACAAAGTAGGTGAGATGAAGTCTGGCCATTCTTACTTCCCAGGAGCATTCTGGCTGCATTTCCTCCAGGACAGATTTGTTAGTTCTTCTGGCAGTTTGTGGTGCTTTCAGTATTCTTCGCCAACACCAGAACTGAAAACAGATTCCTGGAATTGGGAGTAGTGTATTTTTATGCAAATACCGCACACCGTACCTTTCTTGGCATACAGTGCAACACCCTGTGTGTTATTTTTGTAAGCATGCAGTGAGCAGAGGCTGTTGCCCACACGCACTCTGGCTGCACCTGAAGCCAAGAGGCAGGCACGCACTGCCTCACCACTGTGGGGGCAAGGCAGTGAATAGGACCTGTCTTGAACAAACAAGGGGCAGGAGACACCTCTGTGCACACAGCTCTCACTCCTGCCCTTCAGAATCCACTCAGGCCATTGAGATATTCAAACTGCCCCAGCACAGTGGCCAGCCAGCTGGATGTCAAGGTGAAAAGCCTGCTGCTGTGGTGCATGGCCATACCAACCCAAGTGGTCTCTGGGGCCAGTGTGTGACTCACGCACCTAAGAGGCTGAGGCCCATTGGCCTGGGGAGGGCTGTTTCCAGGGCAGAAAAAAAAAAATTTCTTCCTGCATTAGAGAAAGCAGTTTGCAGGGCAGGGAAGGAATCCTACTAGGAAAGGGGCTGCCCATAGTCCTGATGTGGCTGACCAGAGCACAGCCCTCTGCTCAACCCTACACACCCACCACTTCACCACAGCCCACCCTGTTTCCATTCCCGGTGCCATATCTGAGTGCAGATTGGCCTCATGGAAATCCACTGCTCTTAGGCTTGGCCACAAACTTCCCCAGAGCAAGCACACAATTTCAATTGTGTATTTTCTAATTACTAGGGTACATGGCTTATACCTTTACTATATAAATATGATCAAAAGTATTATTTTCAGACTACTGAATGAGGGTGAATAAGGCCAAAATTCACTTCTGGAAATGTCGGGACATGTCTGGTGTATGCATGTGTATACTATGCCAGAATTTTTTTTTTTCACATACTTTCCTCATTTCCACCCTTTATGTGTATGTGAGTTATTTACATGGATGTGCTATTTGCAAAAAATACAGTACTAGTCAAACTCTGGGAGCTCTGGTGGTGTAGTGCCTAAGGCATTTGACTGGTAACCAGAAGGCTGGTGGTTCAAACGCACCACCCACTCATCGGAAGGAAGACTGGGCAATCTACTTCCAAAGAGATACCTCCTTGGAAACCCAAGGAGAGGTCGCTATGAGTCGGGATCAACTAGATGACAGTGAGTTAGGTTTTTTGTTTGTTTGTTTGTTTAGTCAAAGGCTAAGAAGCTCTGGTGGTATTTGACTACTAACCAGAAGGTTGGTGGTTCAAACCCATCATCCACTCCACGGAAGGAAGATGATGTAAACTACTTCCATAAAGATTTACCACCTTGGAAACCCAATGGGTGTCGCTATGAGTCAGAATCGACTGGATGGCAGTGGGTTTGGTTTTTGTTTTTTAAGTCAAAAGCTATGAATATATTTAAGGTAGGTTCTTTCTCCGTCATACTTTCAAATTCTTTTCTGAGAGGGTGCATCAGTTATTTTGGAGGCATTCAGACAAAGGCAGCGATGACAACGGCTGACGAGAGTCCTGTCTCAACACCCAGTTCACCAGATCCGAGTCGTATCATTCCGAAAGAGATGTTCCTTGTTTGAATTTTTTAAAATTACTAGTGAGATGGACCATATTTCATTATTAGCCATTTTAATTTCTTTGTCTTTGAAGGGCTAATTCATGTTATTACCTATTTTTTTCTGTTGGCACATCAATGTTTTTCTTATTGATTTATAAGAGTTGTTTGTTGATTAAAAATATTAACCTCTGCCTGGATTCCTTGGCATGGCTCTGAGTTACTATTGTAATGGTGAGTAAGCTACTTCCCTTTTCTGAGCTGCCAGTTCTTCACCACAGCTCTCAGCAATGGAGGAGACTTCAGAGGGTTTCAGGTCCAATTTCCCAGGCAATCCGTGGGTCTCTTCCACCTCATTCATGGACAAATCATTGCTCTAACTTTGTTTGAAAGCCTCCAGAATAATTTTCTAGCAGAAATATCTAACTTCTGCTTCAGTTATCCATTGTGTGTAAGAAAGCACCCAAAAACTTAGTGGCTTAAAGCAATAACCATTTATTATTTCTCAAAATTCTGTGGCTCGGTGGGTGGTTCTTCTCCCTGTCCGGTCTGGGCTGGCTCATGCTGTTCTGGTTAAATGGAAGCTGGACTGGTTGGAAGGTCCAAGACTCTTACGTGTATGGCTGATGGTCAGCTAGATATGTTGGCCAAGGCATCATCATGTTTTTCCTTGTGGCCTCTCCAGTGGCTAGCTTGGGTTTCTACATAAAATGGTGACAGGTTTCTAAAAGGACAAGCCACAATATACAAGTGCTTTTTAAGTGGGTTGTGTCACACTTGCTAATGTCCCATTGGCTAAGTGAAGTCACATGACCATCCAAGGGCCATTTGGGGAGGGAGCTCTCCAAGAGCATGAATACTGAGAAATGAGGTTCATTGGGGGCCATCAATGTAGTCTTCCACAAGTTTCTTGGGAGATAGTGAATGTTGGACAACTGCAAATAAATAATCAAACAATTTATTTCAAACCTATCTCCTTATAGTTTTCACCCATGAGTCATCCCATTTCTGCCCTCTGGAACCTCATAGAATAAATCTTTCATCTCATCCTAATGACGTACCTTTATTTATTTGGAAACAAGCTACCGTGTCCACTTAGATCTTTCATTCCCTAGGTTATATAGCTCCCATCCTTTCCCCTGCTATTTATCTGACAAGGTTTGAAGATCCTTTACTTTTCTTCCTGTTTGCCTTTGGGCTCCAATCTAGAATGAGAATAAAAACCTCAGGGAGATCAGACAGTGCAAAAGCAGGAAATGGCCCTTGCCTATTAAGACCTACCAGTAGCCAGGGAACTCCTGGTGCTGTAGGCAGTCTGAATCAGGCCCAGCATGCCTGAGCCTATGGGGAGTAAAATGTCTATAAGGAGGATGAATTTCCTTTCTGGAAATAATTTTATTAAGTCAGTTTATTAAAAGCTGCATAAAATGTCCCTGGATTCCAGCCAATCGTTGCCTGGGGAGTGAAGAACTTTCTAAGCATCAGAGCTATTCAAGGAATAAATGGTTTGCGGTAGAAGTCAATGTTCAAGGAGTGACTGGCGTACCATAGTGTCATCTATGGATTTCTCTGTCTTTTAGGGGTTGGATGGGGTGGGGGACATGTATGCTCCCAGGAAATTCAAATATCTAGGAAGCACTGGGTTTATATTTCCAGAGTCCTTCTAGAAGCCACAGGCATTCCTATGTATCTGAGGTTCCCTGCTCCTCTCTCTCTACATTTGTCCTCTCTTTACTCAGACACCAAGAAGGACCTGAAGTGGATCACCAGCCACCTGCTAGACATGCTGGTCAGTAAGAAGGTGTCTGGGCAGGGCAGGGACCAGGCCCTGAATCTACTCAATAAGAACGTCCCCAGGAAGGACCTTGCCATTCATGACAACTCACGCACCATCTATGTGGTGGATAACGGTGAGCAAGTAGAAGGGTTTGGGGCTCATGCCAGCTTTTTGAGTGTGCACCAGGGTACCACCTAGCACTGAGAAGAAAGTGGAAGAGGTGTGGTCTTTGTCTGGGAGGAGACTTCAGTTCAAAGTGAAAAGTAAGGAAAAGGCATATAAGGTCCACCATTGGGCTGGTGTAGGTCAAGGTTCTGAATTCAGAACCCGAACACACCCAGGAAGTGTCCAAACACACCCAAAAACATCTGGGTAGCGTTACCTAACAAATGAGGGAAAAAAATCATTCAAGACATCCTTCACCAAATATGGGGGTGACATTCTTGATGTCTCATAGTTGGCAAAATATTTCACAGGCCTTATAGAAAGAGAGGGAGCTCTGGTGTTGTAGTGCTTAAGGCATTTGACTGTTATCCAGAAGGCTGGCGGTTCAAACCCACCAGCCACTCCTCAGAAGGAAATTGGGCAATCTACTTCCGTAGTGATACCACCTCAGAAACCCAAGGAGGAGTCGCTATGAGTCAGATCTGACTCAACAGCAGTGAGTTTGGTTGGTTTTATAGAAGGAGAAAAGTGCCATCAAGTATACCTTACATAAACCAAACCAAACTCATTGCTGTTGATTCGACTCATAGAGACCCCTCCTTGGGTTTCCAAGTCAGCATCACTATGGAAGTAGAATGCTGAGGGTTAGCATATAGTACAAACTGGGCTGTGAGACTTGGGCTGGGGAGTGATTAGGGTGTCAAGCCTGAAGTGAGCTTTTGGTTTAGTGGGGGGATAAGGACTGACAAGGGGGAGGTCCACAGTGTTCTGACAGAAGCAAAATGAGTTGTTCAAAGGCTTGGGGTAGGAATGGAAGGAAGAAGAGGAGATGAGATTGGGGAGGTGATGGGAGGTGGAGCGGGTGCATTTGATGGAGGTCCTTGAAAGCCAAGCTGGGAGTTTGAACTGGCTCATCTGGCCCCTTCTTCTCCAGCTCTAGCAACCACTTCTAATTCCCTCTTACCATCCAGAATTTCATGGCTCCCAGTGTTTATGCAGAATATCCTCCCCTCACTTACCTGTTCTACCTGAAGTCTGGCCAACCTCAACTAATTATGAAAGACTCTGGGTTTTCTGGGCACTGAGTGGACAGGAGATGAGTAATTATACATGGAGTGTCAGAGCTGGAAGGGTTCAGCACTTCCAAAGCAACCCCTCCCCTTCTTTACAAAGAGATACTGGGGCCCAGGGGGACTTGTCCAAGGTCACCCAGCAAGTCAGAGGCACACGTGGGACCCACCCAGCTCTGAAAGCTGACTGTGGTGTGAAGGTGTCTGCTGCATCAGAGGCCGCATAGCCTCACAGTTAACATTGCTTGAGTAATAACTTGAACATTTCTTTGGAGAGTGTTCTCACTAGGTCACTTGCCAGCTGCGTGACTTTGGCCAACTTATTTGACTTCTCCAAGTCTTGATTTCCTGTTGTGCAAAATGGGAATAGTGATTCCTAACTAGTCAGTTATTGGTAGAATTAAATAGGGTAACATGTACAAAGCTCTCCTAAGGAGTCCTGATGGTGCAGTGTTTAAAGCATTTGGCTTTAAAAGGTTGGTGGTTCAAACCAACCCGATGCCCTGCAGGAGAAAGATGAGGCAATCTGCTTCTGTAAAAATGTACAGTCTTAGAAACCCTATGGGGGCAGTTCTACTCTCTTCTGTAGGGTAGCTATGAGTTAGAATTGATTGGATGACAGTGGGTTTTTGTATTGTAAGCACTCAAAATAAATCACAGCTCTTATTTCATTCAAGTGAATCATCCCATATGTGATGTTACCACTCTGCATTCATCACAACTATTGCAATCTTTATATGTCTGTCTTCCCTATTACACTGTGAGTTATTTCTGGTCAGGGCTGTGTTATTTATTTCAGTGGCAGTGCCTAGAAGGTGCTTATTTATTTACTTATTCATTCATTTATTTAACAAATATATGACTATTGAATCGGGAACTCTGGTAGCATAGTGGCTAAGACACTTGCCTGCTAACCAGACGGCTGGCGGTTCAAACCCACCAGCCACTCCTCGGAAGGAAGGTTGGGCAATCCTACTTCCGTAGTGATACTGCCTCGGAAGCCCAAGGAGGGGTTGCTATGAGTCGGGTTTGACTCAACGGCACATAACAACAACAACATGACTATTGAATTAGCATGATGGACAACAGGAAACCATTGAAAATTCTTCAACAGAAAAGATAATAACAATAAATAATAATAACTAATATTTATTGAGTGATGATATGTCTGGATTGGCTCTAAGCACTTTCCATACATTGTCTCATTGATTCCTCAAACTCTGTGAGTCAGGGAGTAGTATTCTCATTTTACAAATAAGGAAACTTATCTCTAGGAAAAAAGCAAATACAAAATAGTATTTGAGAAAGAGTGAAGATCAACCCACACAATGTTACCCTTGTAGAGTCTTTGAGATCAACTAGCCTTGATTTTGTAAATGCAGAAATAGAAGCCCAGAGAAGGTGAATTGCTCAAGGGTGCATGTGCCCCGGGGTCAAACCTGTGTCTCCTGGTTCTACCATCAGTGCTCTTCAATGAGGGTAAACCATGTGCTGCGTAAAGACAGGGCGGGAGAGGGCTGTTGATAAGACATTAGTGAGTGAGGGCTCATGTTTATGAAGACCAAGCCCAGCAGGAATCTGACACTTGGTGCTGCTTACCCTGCAGGCCTGAGGAAAATCTTGAAGGTGGTGGGGCAAGTTCCAGATCTGCCATCTTGCCTGCCCCTGACCGACAACACCCGCATGCTCGCCTCTGTCCTCCTCAACAAGCTGTACGACGACCTGCGCTGTGACCCAGAGCGTGAGCACTTCCGCAAGATCTGTGAGGAGTACATCACGTGAGCTCCCTGGAGGCCTGGGGTTGGGCTCTGTAGGAGTTATCTAATACCTAATATCAGTTAGCAGCTGAAAACAGCTATAATCACCCGTTGTCTCACAGTTGGACAGGAGTTCAGAAGTGAGGTAGCTGGTAGTATAGCCTTGGGGTCTCTCAGGAGGTTGTAGCCTCTGCTGGGTCTGTAGTGATCTGAAGGCTTGACTAGAGTTGGAAGATCTGCTCCCAAAGTGACTGTTTCAAATGATTGGCATTTTGTTGCTGGCTGTTGGGAGGAGGCCAAGAGTTCCTCCCCGTGTGGACCTCTTCGCAGGATTTGCTCACATGGCTGTTGGTGGGAGTCCTCAATTCCTCACTCTCCACAGGATGGCTCGCTCCCGTGGCTGCTCACATGGCTCAGCTCTTCACCATGTGGACCTTCCCACAGACTGCTTAAGTGTCCTCACCTCATAGCAGCTGGCTTTCCTACCATTGAGTGGTCCAAGAGAAAACAAAGTGTTCTATCACCTAGCCTCAGAAGTCATACACCATCACTTCTGTTACATTGTTTTCATCAGAAGCAAGTCACTAAGTCCAGCTTACATTCAAGGGGAGAGAATTGGGCTCCACCCTTTGAAGACAGGAGTGTCAAATAATTTTGAATCTACCCCAGGCTCCTGTGGTTGAAAGGCACAGATGTCAACTTTTCAAGGAGGGAGATGTGGCTCTATAAGACTTGAAGAACTTGGTGGCCTTGCAGAGAGTAGATAAGAGGCCAGCCCCTTAGCAGCCAGAATTCCTGGGTCTTCTCTCTGCTGCTTCATGATCAATGTGACTCAGATGCTCTCTCTGGGTCCCTGTTTCTCTTTACGTGTCTTCTCCCATCTTTTCTTACTGCTACATTGCCTTTTAGAAGCTCTGGTGGTATAGTATCTAAGACACTTGACTGCAAACCAGAGGCTGGCAGTTCAAACCCACCAGCCACTCCTTGGGAGGTATCTACTTCCATAGTGATACCACCTCAGAAAACCAAGGAGGGGTCAATAAGAGTCAGATCTGACTCAATGGCAATGAGTTTGGTTTTTTTAGTTTTGGCACATGGCCTTTTAACCCTTTTGTCCCAATCATTCTCATATTTTGTTGTGCATTAGGATCACCAAGGGAACCTGTAAATTATTCCAATTCCTGGGATCCCCTTTTCTATGACTTAGTGGTATAGGGTGTGGCTCAGGAAGCAGCATGTTTAAAAAGCCCCCTAGCTGGTCTTAGGTGGGTGAGGATACTGCCTTTACTCTGTCTTTCCTTTCTCTACCCCAGGGGCTGGCAAACTTTTGCTGTAAATGGCCAGACAGTGACTATTTTAGGCTTTGGGGAGCAGGTGTAGGCCTCTATTGCATTTTTTTTCACCCCTTTAAAATGTAAGCGCCGTCCTTAGCTCTGAAGATTTGGGAATTTGGCCCACACTGTAGTTGCTGACTCTTGCTCTGTCTTATGGCTTCTACTAACCCTGACTTTGGTTCACTTACAGCCCCTCATGGCATCTCTGATCTTTCTCTACCTCAGCTTCAGCCTTTACTGCTAACATCTTGAGTCTCTCAGGAGTTCTCCAGTTGAGTTCCAGTACATGGCATGTAGGATTCCCTGTGTGGCGCAAACAGTTAAGTGCTCGACTACTGGCCAAAAGGTTGGCAGTTTGAACCCTCCCAGAGGCACCTGGGAAGTCAGGCCTGGAGAGCTGCTTCCGAAAGGTGACAGCCTTGAAAACCCCGTGAAAACCTCTGCACACATGGGGTCATCATGAGTCAGGATCAACTTGACATCCACAACAGATGTCACCTGGCTCGTCCTTGTTGGGGCAACGCTTTTTGATTTCAATAATTCTCACCTTTTATTGTGCTTAAGAATCCGTAGGGGAGCTGGTGGAGGGCTCCCTGCCCTGCCTCTGTCAGCCTAGGGAATGGCTGCTTTTGCTCAGGCCCCCCAATCCCTAGGCCAGTCACCAGAGGCTGAGGGGGTGTGGTCACCACTGCAGTCAAAAAAGCAGACCCCAGGCCATCCCTCTGCAAGGGGGAGGCCCAGGTAATATATTCTGCATCTTCAGGGCCAGTTTAAAGGGCCAGAGTAAAACCAGTTGCTATGGAGTCAATTGTGACTCACAGCAACCCCATGTGTGCAGCATGGAACGGTGTTTCATAGGGTTTTCATGACTGACCTTTTGGAAGCAGATTTCCAGGCCTTACTTCCAAGGCATCTCTGGGTGGGTTCGAACCACCAACCTTTATGATTAATAATTGACCACTTAACATTTGCACCACCCTGGGACTAGTTTAAAGGAAAAACCTCCAATTAATTATGAAAGACTCTGGTCCTCTAGGCATGAGTGGAGTGGAAATTAGACACAGGACTTTGAAGGTCAGAGGTGGAGAGGTCCAGAGGTTCCAGAGAGAACCCTCCCCAAGAAAACTCAAAATCATTAAAAAAAAAAAAGGACAAGTTTTGTTGGTCTGATAGAGCCTGGTGAGACCCCTGAGACTATGGCCCCTAGCTACTCTTCAGGTCTGGAACTAAGCTCACTCCTGTGGCTTCCAGCCAAACAATAGACAGGCACGTGGGTTGAACATTTACAACGGGTAGGTACACTCCTTAGAGGGATCAATCAATCAGTCGTTGAAGAACAGAAGGGCAGTGTTTGCACAGGGAACTAGCTGGGGGGGCGGGGGGAGGTGCAGGAGTGCATGGGAGGGAAAGACACAGGGAAGAGGTAACTACAGGGAGCAAGTGGGAAGAGAGCTGTTACACGGTGGGGAATTGCAGTCAATGTCATGAAACAAAATGGGAATGAACTGCTGTATGAAAAATGAATTTGCTCTGTAAACTTTCACCCAAGCCACAATAAAAAGTAAAAAAAAAAAGAGAGAGAAAGAGAGAGAGAGACCCTTCCCCTACCTTACAAACAGAGTCCCAGAGGGGCTGGCCCTCCCTGGTCACCCAGCAATTCAGAGGCAGATGTGAAATCAGAGCCCAGGTCTCCATCTGAGTCTGTGTGGAGTCCCTACTTACTGGTCCACACTGCTTTCTCTCATTTACATGTAACTACATTTCGATTCCCCACATTAAACCAACCTGGGCAGGTCCCTGAAGGGTCAGAAGGCCTGTCACCTCTGATGTCCCCAAACAGAGATTCTCCCATACTGTAGACAATAATAGATTCTGAAAGCAAGGCCTGCTCCCCCTTGGTGGGGGAGGGAACTGAGCCCAGACAGGGCAGTGACTCTCCCTGGCCCCATCATGAGCTAGCCATGCTGTAGAGGGATCCAGCTGCCAGCACCATGCTAGGCCTTTCGTGTCCTTGTGGATGCTGTGTAGTCTGCCACACTCCTTTCAGGAATGAAGGGTTTATTCCCCCGCTACTGGGAAGGCTGTCAGCTCTCAGCTGTCACCTCGCTCTGGGACTGGCCTCAGCTGAGGACAGCCAGCTCCCTCTTCTTGGGGCAGTAGGCATCCAATAACTTGACCTTTGCCCCAGCTTGGAACAGGCTTAAAGGTCATCCCAGCTCCAGAACTCTGTGCAGGCTGAAGCTTTGTTCCAACTGCATTGCAGCCCAACACCTCCCTCTACCCAGGCCTGCTCCTGTTCATCCCAAAAGCTCTCGCCTGCATGTGAATCTCTGTCTCAAAGTATGCTTCCTGGGGACCCAACCTGCAACAAGTCTTTCATGTCATTTAATCCTCGCTACAATACTGAGGCACAGCAGTACTATCCTCAGTTTGCAGATCAGTAACCTGAGGCTCAGAGCGGTTCAGTGAACTGCCCAAGGTCACACAGGACATGAGTGATACAGCCTGAATGCAAATCCCAATCTGTCTGCCTCCAAATCCTACACTGTTCCTTTTCTCCCCACCAGGCCAATTCTCTTGACCACCCTTCCCCTCTGTTGCAGGGGCACGTTTGACCCCCAGAACATGGACAAGAATGTGAGTGCTATCCAAACAGTGTCAGGGATCCTGCAGGGCCCCTTCGACCTGGGCAACCAGCTGCTGGGGCTGAAAGGCGTGATGGAGATGATGGTTGCCCTGTGTGGCTCGGAGCGAGAGCAGGACCAGCTGGTGGCCGTGGAGGCCCTCATCCATGCCTCCACCAAGCTCAGCCGCGCCAGCTTCATCATCACCAATGGCATATCGATGCTCAAGGAGATTTACAAGACCACCAAAAATGAGAAAATCAAGATCCGCACGCTGGTGGTGAGTGGGCTCAGTACCACCCACTTCCCCAGTGGTAGGCACTATGCCAGGCACCAGAGACACCAGGATGAATGAGACATGGCCCCTAATCTTGGGAGCTCATGGTCTAAGGGGCACACAGAGCCATCCACAGGACCCTGCAGAACAGGGTGATAGCTCTTCTGAGCGGACTTGCGGGGGGTTGTGAGAACATAGATTCAGAACCCTGGGCACTGCTGCTCTACCCGAGCACATCTGCCTCTGTGCTTATGAACAACACAAGCACAGATGAGCTTTTGTCCAGAAAGTATTTTCAGCACAAACTCCAAACAAAAACTCAGTTATTTCCTTAATCATATTCACTCACTATAGCACCGTCAGACCTGCTTCCATTTTGATTTTCCTGAAATTAGGTCCCCAAACTTTCTTTTTTTCTTGTAAACTGTAAAGATGCGAGTGATGGATTCAGTTTTTGTTCCTATGAATTTTCTTTTTAATTAATGTTAGCTTTTGCCCTGGTGAGTTTTCTTTTATTGAAGATTTTTTTTTTTCCTAACAAGAGTCCAGTTTTTCTTGGTTAATATTTTGCACATCTATGTCATCACTCAGGAACTCTGGTAGCATAGTGCCTAAGGCACTTGACTGCTAACCAGAAGGCTGGCGTTTCAAACCCACCAGCCACTCCTCGGAAGGAAGGTTGGGCAATCTACTTCCATAGTGATACTGCCTCAGAAACCCAAGGAGGGGTTGCTATGAGTCAGGTCTGACTCGACGGCACATAACAACAACATGTCATCACTCTGGGCTGTCACAGTGTTACCACTGCAGTTTTGGATGTGGTTGACATTCTCTTGTGCTAGCTTTTAAAGATGGCAGAAACAAAACACCCTTGGGGTCAAAATAGTAGGGACAAAACGACAGGGTAAAGACCTCCAGCTTTGTGGGTGTCAGCTCTAATCTCTCAAGGTCAGGAAAGGCATTTCAGAAGGGGTGTTAGCCACAGAGGCTCATGCAGGTAAAGAAAAGGAGCCAGATGTTCCAGTGACAGGGACCCATATGAACAAGGCCTCTTCCATAAGCCCAGTCTGACCGTACTATTTCCTCTGTCTCCCCACCTCTGCAGGGACTCTGTAAACTCGGCTCTGCAGGCGGCACAGACTATGGTCTCAGGCAATTTGCCGAAGGGTCAACGGAGAAGCTGGCCAAACAGTGTCGCAAGTAAGGGGGTTGTATGTCCTCAGGTCTAACATCTTCCTATTGGCTTCCTTGTGGGAGCCTCTGGGGTACACACTAATGGACTCTAGATGTTGAAAAGCTTCCCCCTCCCCTGCTGTCCACTGCCCTGAAATCTCTGATTTCTGGACCCAGTGCTGGCACCCTTCTTCCAGCACCTCTCCCTCCCCTTCCAGGTGGCTGTGCAATGCAGCCATAGACACCCGGACCCGGCGCTGGGCAGTGGAGGGGCTGGCCTACCTCACGCTGGATGCTGATGTCAAGGATGACTTTGTCCAGGACATTCCTGCCCTGCAGGCCATGTTTGAGCTGGCCAAGGCAAGTTGAGCCCTAACCCTTGACTTCAGGACCCATTGGCCCCTCTGGATATAAGCCCACAGGACTTTCCACTGAGCCTCATCCTGACTCTACCCATCCAAACCAAACGGAACTCACTGTCACTGGTGGATTTGACATTTTGGTTAGCAGCTGAGTGCTTAATCCCGGAATCACCAGGGCTTCTCTCTTGAGAGTACAGAATAAATAGGAATTTATGAGCAGGGCCAGGTTTCTCTCCTTCTGTGCTGTTTGTGTGTCACCCCCCACCCCCACCCCACCAAGATATAGCTACAACAGCCACACCCTTCCTAAACCAACTTTTATCAGACCGTGTGAGTGAGCCATCTTGGAAGCAGAGGTTTGCTCTGAAGCTTCCTTCCTGCCGCCCCTCCCCCACCCCATGCCTCTAGACCAGCGACAAGACCATCCTGTACTCAGTGGCCACCACCCTGGTGAACTGCACCAACAGCTATGATGTCAAGGAGGTCATCCCCGAGCTCGTGCAGCTGGCCAAGTTCTCCAAGCAACATGTACCTGAGGAGCACCCAAAGGTAGGACAGTCTGCTCAGGTGGGGGGTGGACTGTGCCACCAAATGCCCAAAAGAGGTGGAGCAGGAAATAACGATGCCTGGGTGCCGTGCAGCCCGTGTTTGGGATGATTGGGGACATGTAAATTGAAGATGGCTGGAGCTCTGGTAGAGTAGTGCCTAAGGCACTTGACTGCTAACCAGAAGGCTGGCCGTTCAAACCCACCAGCCACTCCTCAGAAGGAAGATGGGGCAATCTACTTCCGTAGTGATACCGCCTCAGAAACCCAAGGAACAACAAATTGAACATGACAATGATAAATTACCCCACCAGGTGGCGCTCATGTTTTTTCTTTGTTTTCATTTTCTACCTTGGAAAAGTAATTTGTGCTTTGAGGAAACAAACGGAGCCATGATGAGCATATTTCGATTTATATTGCTGATTTTACGACTTTTGGATAGTTTCATTTCATGTTTCTTTCATGTACAAAAATTTTATTTTTTTTCCCTGGGCTGTCTGGGTTTGGGGACATAGGTGCTAAGTATGAGTAACAGGGGAGGCAAAGGTTCCCACCAGGCCAGATGTCACAAGTCCCCTTCAGGCCCTTCCTGTGGACTCCCTCCACACAAGGTCATCATTTGTATGTGATTTGCTGTTTGAATATATATGTATCCCATTCCCAGCCAGTAAAATCATTTTGTTTTTTAAAAATGGTAAAAGTAATATAACCAGGTTGCAAAACAAAAAAATGAGTAATAGAGAAAAGAAAATAACCATTCACAATTACATCATTTCCATAGGACCACTCTTGGCATTTTTACATATTACCTACCAGAATTAAATTTTACTCTTGTACATCTTTTTTTCTTTTCATAGTTATGGCCTGGAGGTAGTTGTGATTTTGGAAAATAGTTGAAGTGTTTTCCATATTGTCATATATACTCTCTGAGTCATTTTTAAAAGTTGCATAGCATTTCACCCAGGCAACGACTCCATATAGCATGTTCCTCTCTTGTGAAGTTCAGATGTGGCTTCTAGAAATTGCCCATGACTGTCACCTTCTTCCCAGCCACTCTAAGAATTAGCTGTAGTGACTATTCAGCTCTGAGATTGCAAAAACAACCATTGTTAGCAACCTCATCTGTTCCTTATCCTCTTTCATTCCTGCCTACACTCCACTGCCTATAATGGAAAGCCAATCTTTTGCAAGAAAAATAATGTATGGTTCATCAGGTGTTTTGGATGGATCATCAGTTTTTTGCTTCATTCCCCTGTGAATTAAAGAGCCTTTGAAATTAATTTCCTTACCCCATCAGCTACTCAAGCTCTGTATTCTGAATAGAGTTGTTAGGTGCCTTTGAGTTGGTTCCAACGCACAGTGACTGTACGTACAACAGAATAAAATGCTGCCTGGTCCTGCACCATCCTCACCCCGTTGGCATGCTTGAGCCCATCGTCGCAGCCACTGGGTCAACCCATCCAACTGAAGGTCTTCCCCTTTTTTTGCAGACTCTCTTTTTTTGCCAAGCATGGTATTGCATTCTGAGTGTCTTCCAACCTGAGGGGCTCATCTTCTGGCCCTGTATCAGAGTTTCCCTGCTATTCATAACATTTTCAGTGGCCAATTTTTTCAGAAGTGGACCTGCCCATGTCCTTCCTAGTCTGTCTCAATCTGGAAGTTCTACTGAAACCTGCCCACCATGGGTGACCCTGCTGGCATTTGAAATACCAGTGGCATAGGTTTCAACATCACAGCAGCACGCAAGCCACCACAGTACGACAAACTGACAGATGAGTGGTGGATTCATACAGCAGAGCATGCCATGTGCCCCTTTGCAGTTGCTTGGACAAAGGGAGTTAGGAGAAGTATATTCCATTCTCAGTGCTGCTGTAACAAATTTCCACAAACACAGTGACCTAAAACAACAGGTGTTTATTCTCTTACAGTTCTAGAAGTCAGAGTCTAAAATCAATCTCTCTGGGCTAAAGTCAAGGTGCCGGCAGGGCTGGCACCTTCTAGAGGCCCAGAGAGAAGGGACATTTCTTTGCTTTTTTCTCTTCTAGAAACTGCCTTCATTCACTGGCTCATGACCCCTTCCTCAAATCACTCCAAGCTTCCATCATCAATTACATCTCTTACCACTAACTCTGATCCCCCTGCTTTCCTTTTACAAGGATGTCTGTGATCATATAGAGTCCACCTGGATCATCCAGGATAACCTACCTACCTAAAGATCCTTAACTTAACACATCTGCAGATTCCCTTTCACCATGGAAGGTAACATAGTCACAGGTTCTGGGCATCCCAATCTGGACCCTGTTAGAGGGTCATTATCCAGCATACTGCAAGAATTCAGAAATGGACCATCTTTATGGCTTAATACAAATTGGTCTGGTGTCCTGGCCCCTTCCCCATTGTCACCTTTCATCTCCCCAGGACAAGAAGGACTTCATAGACATGCGGGTGAAGCGGCTTCTGAAGGCAGGTGTCATTTCTGCGCTGACCTGCATGGTGAAAGCGGACAATGCCATCCTCACCAACCAGACCAAGGAGCTGCTGGCCAGGTGTGGCTGCGGTTGGCCAGAGTGGGGCTGGGCTGGCATCGGAGGGGTCGTGGAGGGGAGGAGGCTGAACAGGGAGATAGCAATGGCAAGGGATTAAATGAAGAGATTGGGATGCATGGGGGCCTAGAGAAGAAACTGAAGGGGATCCACACTGGAAAGTGACTAGGTGAAGCAGATCATCACAGAAGGAAATGTACACTAGGATAAAAGAGGTCAATATCCATTGGTAGCATAGTGCCTAAGGCCCTTGACTGCTAATCAGAAGGCTGGTGGTTCAAACCCACCAGCCACTCCTCGGAAGGAAGGTTGGGCAATCTACTTCTGTAGCGATACTGTCTTGGATACCTAAGGAGGGGTCGCTATCAATCGGGTCCAACTCGATGGCACATAACAACAAAAACAACATCCATTCTGGTTACCTTGTTCCCAAGCCCCTGTGTGGGATCTGCTGTTCCAGAGATTAAGGCAGTCTCTGATCAGGAAGCTTACATCTGGGGGGGGAGGCAGCCAAGGTCTCAGTTTCAATACAGTGTGATGGGTCCCACATTGGGGAATGCAGAGTTGCCTGGAGCGCAAGCCGTAGCACCTCTTCATCATAGGGTTTTGCTGGCTCTGACTTGCTGGCCTGGGAAGCATGTGCTGGTGCATTAAATGTTCTCCTTTATCCTTGGCTCTGCAGGGTGTTTCTGGCACTGTGTGACAGCCCAAAGGACAGAGGCACCATTGTAGCTCAAGGTGGTGGCAAGGTAATTGGGTGGTATGAGATCTTTGCTATCCTGGAAGTTGTGCGTGTGTGTGTGCGTGTGCGCATAACCTCATGTATACTCTTTGCCTGGCCCAATAACGTACTCCGTGACCAACCCAACCTCCTGGAACTCAGTTAACTACTTGTGCTATCTGGGCACAAACCCCCAACCAGTTTCTGCCCGTTTTTATGATGTGTCATGGGATTTACTTTGGAAACACACTTGTACTCCTTGTGGTTAGCAGTCAAATGCCTCAGGCACTATGCCACCAGAGCTCCCTACTGGAAGGAATCAAGGTGCAAATAAGAGACTTTGGACTTTGAAGTAGAAGACTTAAGAGTTAAGTCCTTGCTCTGCCTGTTTTTAAGGAGCTCTGGTGGTTCAGTTCTCCATAAGGCACTTGACTGCTAACCAGAAGGGTGGTGGTTTAAACCCACCAGCCACTCCTGGGAAGGAAGATTGGGCAATCTACTTCCAGAGAGATACCACCTCAGAAACCCAAGGAGGGGTCGTTATGAGTTGAATCAACTCGACAGCGGTGAGTTTGGTTTGATTTGGTTTGGTTTGGTGGTGCAGTTGTTAAGGCATCTGGCTGCTAACCAAAAGTTCTATGGTTCAAACCCACCAGCCACGAAAGAAAGATGAGGCAGCCTGCTTCCATAAAGATTTATAGCCTTGGGATCCCAATGGGGCTTGGTATGAGTTGGGATGCCTGTTTTTAGTTATGAATAAATTGTTTAACCTCTTGGAGCTACAGGTTCCTCATCTGTAAAGTGGGCCAATTCTCTCTCTTTCTCTCTCACACACACACACACACTTTGCATGAGGTCACAAAGATGAGAGAAAATACACTTAAAATATTGGCTCATAGTACGTGCTCAACAAAAGCCACTGTTATGATTAGGTTTGGCTTAGGCAGAAAGTGAAACATCAGTTTATTGACTGATTGAGTTTTGCAAAAGCAGAATGAACTTATGAATAGGTGAAGGGAGGTAGGGGTGAAGTCCTTGATGTGTGCTGGGACCAAGGGCATGAGTTGGTAACATTTTAAACTGTATTCTATGATAGCTCAAGAGCAGCTTATCTTAAGAGTCCTCCTGCATCTCTGATGGGACAGACAGATGGCAGATAACAGCTGGAGAAGAAAGAAGGCGAGAGGCTGGGGCTCTGTGAGCACGCACTGACTGTGTCCCTTCTTGCAGGCCCTGATTCCCCTGGCCTTGGAGGGCACTGACGTGGGCAAGGTGAAGGCAGCCCATGCCCTCGCAAAGATCGCTGCCGTCTCCAACCCGGACATCGCCTTTCCGGGGGAGCGGGTAGGTGTCTGTGTCAGGTGGGGTGGGAGGATGGGAGAAGTCTCCTCTGCTCCTAAGGGCCTTTCCCTTGTCACCCTACCTCCCACCTGGGAAGGGGCCATCGTGCTGTCACAGAGAGGACGTATGCTCCCATCTGTCTGGTTCCGAGACCCAGGTACCTGGATTCTGGGAAAAGTGAGGAAAATAATCCTGCCTTTTAGATCATTAGAAGCCCTGGTGGTGCAGTGGTTCAATGCTCAGCTGCTAACTGAAAGGTCAGGAGTTCAAACCCACCAGTAGCTCCATGGGAGAAAGAAAGCAGTCTGCTTCCATGAAGATTTATAGGCATGGAAACTCTATGGGGGGAATTCTACCCTGTTCTATGGAGTCACCATGAGTTGAAATTGACTAGACGACAATGGGTTTTGGTTTGGGATCATTGTGAAGATTACATTAGGCAATGTATGGGAAAATGTTTGGAAATGTTAAAGCTTGGCACCAATAAATGTAAGGGACTGAGGATGACCCACACCTGCAACTCCCTGCCCTCCTAGGTGTATGAGGTGGTGCGGCCCCTCGTTCGTCTCCTGGACACAGAGAGGGACGGCCTCCAGAACTACGAGGCCCTCCTAGGCCTCACCAACCTGTCTGGACGGAGCGACAAACTCCGGTGAGTGGGGGGCACGTGGGGAGAGCTAGCTCACAAAGTCATTGAAATTTCACCTACGTCTTGTACTACAGCTGTTCTCTGAGGGCAAGATCAAAGGCAGAAGGTGGGAATCCCAGTAAGAAAGATGTGAGTTAACACCTGGAAAGACTGGAGTAAGTGTGTAAAGTAAAAACCAAAACCAAACCAAACTCACTGCCATCGAGTCAGGTCCAACTCATAGCGACCCCTCCTTGGGTTTCCGAGGCATTATCAATACGGAAGTAGGTTGCCCAACCTTCCTTCTGAGGAGTGGCTGGTGGGTTTGAACCCAAAGGAGGCTGTAAAGCAGTAATCAAGATACCCAGGTGGGGGGTGGGGATCAAGTGTGCTCCTTCTTGGAAGCAAGGGTAGGTGGAGCATATTGGGTTGAGATTCTTTTTGGCTGCAAGTGGCTGAAAACTCACTTCCAGGAGGACAACTAGCAGAGGCCAGGGAACTAGCTTTGATGACAAAAAAGCAAAACAACCAAACCAGTTGCCCTTGAATTCACCCCACGTCATGGCGACCCCATTGTGCTGGCATAGAGCTGTGCTCCACAGGGTTTCCAATGGCTGTGCCTCTCAGATGTAGATTGCCAGGCCTTTCTTCCAAAGTGCTTTGGGTGGATTCCAGTAGCCAACTTGTCAGTTAGTAGCTGAACACTTAACTGTTTACGCCATCCAGGGACTTGCTTGATGAGCAAAATGCATTCCTATTTAAAATATGTCTTGGTGGGGAAGTTAGCTTAGAGAAGTTCTATCATTTGTCCATTTTCCCACAGCTAGTAAGTGGTAGAGTTCACATGTGCTCCTATTTGGTTCCAAGCCCCAAGCACTCTCTACAACACCTATGCTGCTTTACTGTTTTTGAAATTCACTTACTGGTTTCGTTCTTTTGTTCATCTAATCTTACATTCAACAAATATTTATAAAAACTACCAACAACAGGAATATACACTCAACTCCATCTGGCTTAAGCAGAAAGGGAATTTGATTACTCCTAAAAATAAAAAGTAATCCAGAAAAATAATCAGGTAAGATGTGTGTCAGGCTTGTGTCCTTTCACCGTACTTATTCGGCCTGTACGCTGAGCAAATAATCCAGAAGCTGTATTTCATGGAGAATGTGGCATCAGGATTGGAGGAAGACTCATTAATCTGTGATATGCAGATGACACAACCTTGCTTGCTAAAAACAAAGAAGACTTGAAGCACTTAACTAATAACAATAAAAAAAACTACAGCCTTCAGAATGGATTACACTTCACCATAAAGAAAACAAAAATTCTCACAACTAGACCAATAAGCAGAATCATGATAAATAGCGAAAAGACTGAAGTTGTCAAGGATTTCATTTTACTCGGATCCACAATCAACACTCATGGAAGCAGCAGCCAAGAAATCAAACAACCTCTTGCATTTGACAAATCTACTGCAAAAGACTTCCTTAAAGTATTAAGGAGCAAAGATATCACTTTGAAGACTAAACTGCGCCTGACCCAAGCCTTGGTATTTTCAGTAGCCTCATATGCATGTGAAAGCTGGACAATGAATAAGGAAGACTGCAGAAGAATTGATGCATTTGCATTGTGGTGTTGGTGAAGAATATTGAATGGCCTGCCAGAAGATCGAACAAATCTGTCTTGGAGGAAGTACAGTCAGAATACTCCTTAGAAGTAAGACTGATCAGATTTTATCTCTTGTACTTTGATCATTTGTCAGGTGGGACCAGACCCTGGAAAAGGATATCATGCTAGGTGAAGTAGAAAAAAAGAAAACCAAACTCACTGCCATTGAGTTGGACCCAACCCATAGCAACTCCTCCTTGGGTTTTCAAGGTAGTATCACTATGGAAGTAGGTTGCCCAATCTCCCTTCCGAGGAGTGGCTGGTGGGTTTGAGCCACCAGCTTTCTGGTTAGCAGTCAAGTGCCTTAGGCTGTTGGCAAAATAGAAGGTCAGCAAAAAAGAGGAAGACCCTCAACGAGATGGATTGACGCCGTTGTTGTGGCGCAGGGCTGGAGCATAGCAATGATTCTGAGGATGGCACAGGACTCGGCAGTGTGTTGTTCTGTTGGACCTAGGGTTGCTATGAGTTGAAACCAACTTGACAGTGCCTAACAACAACAATCCAGATTCAGGTGTGGCTTGATGCAGGGCTTACAAAGCTGCCCTAGGCCCTAGTTCTCTCGGCTTCTCTTCTGTTTTCTGTGTTGTCTCAATTCTCAGATGGGCTTTTCTCCTCTCTTGTGGTCACAAGGATGGCTTCAGACCTCTCCTCTTATCCTTTTGGCTTCATGTCCAGCAAGAAAGAGGAAGAGAGAATTTCTCTTCCCCAATAATAATATGAAAAATCTTCAGGTGGAGGAAAAAAAAGGGGCACGGGGACCAGGTTTGCTGGTCCGATAGAGCCTGGTGGAACCACTGAGACTATGGCCCCTAGCTACCCATCAGGTCTGGAATTGAACCCACACCCGTGGTTTCCAGCCAAACAAAAAACAGGCATATGAGGTGAACATTTACCTCAGGTAGATACACTCCTTGGAGAGAACAATCATGGGAGAAAGAAGGGGTGCTTATGCACAGGGAGACAGCTCGGGAGAAAGAAGTGCACGGATGGATGGACACAAGGAAGAGGTAACTGTCAGGAGGAAGTAGGAAGGGAGCTGTTGCATTGTGGTAAATTGTGGTCAATGTCATGAGACACAGTGTGTGTGAACTGCTGTATGAAAGGTGAATTTGCTCTGTAAATTTTCACCCAAATCACACACAAAAAAAAATCTCCAGTTGGATGGCATGTTCATCTCAGAATCCATCGCTATGGTCAAGACACTATGATAGGTCGTTTAGTTTATGCTCGTGGGTATCCCTCCTGGAGCTGGAGGAGAGATCAGCACCATGTAAATCAAGCTGAGGATGTGGCAGGGACATCACTAGGAAGGGGAGGGGGTGAGCTCTGGCTGGCCAAAAACAACACCTGCTCACTACAGAGCATTCTCCACCTCTTCTTACCCCAGGCAGAAGATTATTAAGGAGAAGGCCTTGCCGGACATCGAGAACTACATGTTTGAGAATCATGACCAGCTGCGGCAGGCGGCCACGGAGTGTATGTGCAACATGGTGGCCAACAAGGAGGTAAGGGTGAGGCTCAGGGTGAGGGATGGGGACTGAGGCATGGAGAGTCAAACCACAGGTCAGGGTTTGGGTGACAACAGGGGCTATTATGATGGTATTAAGGGAGCATTTTGGCCAGAGAGCCCAAGAATCTTTTTTTCAATTACAAACCCCTTTCCTGTACAAGGGAGACAAGGGAAAGCATGCATAGTAATATTAACCTGAGCTGTGGTTTTGAGCCCAAAGCATTGGGCTGAATGAGGCGGAAGGTGCCACTTTTCTACTTGAAAACCAGCTGCCAGCAGGTCAGTTCTGACTCATGGTGCGCCTGTGTGTGTCAGAGTAGAGCTGTGCTCCATAGCGCTTTCACTGGTGGATTGTTTTCAGAAGTAGATCACCAGGCTTCTCTTTTGAGACACCTTTGGGTGGGCGGAATCCAACCTCCAACCTTTTGTTCAGCATCCAAGCTCGTAACCATTCGCACCACCCAGGGACTTTCCACTATTTCTTAGGCCTAAATAACCTCCTAGCAAAGCAGGACATGAGGCCATGGCCTCTAAGAAGTCAAGAGAGGGCGGGGCACTTGAATTTATTGAAGGCCCACATATGTTAAAAGAAAAAAATAAATAAATGCAAAAATTCAGTTATCCTCTTGGCTTCATGTCCAGCAAGAAAGAGGAAGAGAGTTTTATAGTATTTTAAATGTTAACATTTAATCAACTGTGCTTTTCATAGATAACTATAGGATTTATACAAATAAAGTGAATTCAGAACATGTAATAGGCCTTATGTTCTAGTAATGGGATAAATGATAACCAATGATGAATGCCTTCTTTCCATCCTGCTGAGGTGTCTCTGTGCCTGTACATATAAGCTCATGAGAGATAACAACAGAGTCTAAATCTGAGGCCCTTCATGAATGTGAGCGCTAGGCCATGTGGCCCTCCTGGGCCCTCATATAGGGCCTGATGCAAGACCCAGTTTGTTTCCCTCAATACTTAACTCCAGTCTTGGATCTTCCCACTGTTATAATAGGGAAACGCAAGCCACAAAAACCGGCAAAGTTAGAGGAACTGATGTTGCCAGTGTTTCCCAGGGAGCTGGCCTAGGCTGGGCTAGGGGCCTGACAGCCATGTGATAGCAAGACAGTGTATCCAAGGAAGAGGGGACAATAGAGGGGAGTGGGAGGACAGCCTTTCCAGGGGCTAGGGGGCAGAATTAACTGCAGTAAAAAACAAAATCAGCCTGTGCAGGGATCTAAACAGAAGAGATGTCCATTTATCAGTCACCTCATAATCCAATTTGGATTCAGTGGCTCACTTCTAAGCAATGTCTTAGGGAACCACGATTCCTGTATTGTTAAGAATTGTCTCCACAAGATTGCAGAACAGAATTTCAAATTCTCATGGATTCCAGACTTTTTGATGCTGTGGAGGCTAGATGAACTCCTGAAACTACTGCCCTGGGATAAACTTTAAACCTTAAACTAAAAATATCCCCTGAAGTCTTCTTAAAATCAAACAATACTCTAACTTAATTAATTAAAAAAAAATGTCTGCCTTGAGCAGACGTTTATGTCTGCTCTTTTGAGAACTGTCTATATGGGATCAACAGCAACTCAAAAGATTAGATTAGGAAATTTAGGGGGAAGTAGGGAGCTCTGGTAGCATAGTGGCTAAGACACTTGCCTGCTAACCAGACGGCTGGCGGTTCAAACCCACCAGCCACTCCTCGGAAGGAAGGTTGGGCAATCCTACTTCCGTAGTGATACTGCCTCGGAAACCCAAGGAGGGGTCGCTATGAGTCGGGTTTGACTCGACGGCACATAACAACAACAACAACAACAAAGTTTGTTAAATGGAGAACAACTCAGAAAAGGAGGGTGAGAATGGATGCAGACAGAGGTGGTAAAACACATCAAACAGGGAGTCCCTTGTTCTCATTAACCTTTTAGCTGGAGAAGTTTCTAGCCCCATTCATTTAGCTAATCAGGGAAGACCGGATTTCCTTGGAGAGGTGGCATGAGAGAGCTGCTCAAAGGGAAGCTCCAAGGATCCTGGGTCAGGGAGCTGGGCTTCAGACACACCTTCCTGTTTTCAGGCTGGACAGCTGGAAACAGTTTTCTCTGAGTTACATAACTCATCTCCCCCTTCCTCCCATAGGTACAGGAGAGGTTCCTGGCTGATGGGAATGACCGGTTGAAGCTGGTGGTGCTGCTCTGTGGGGAGGATGATGACAAGCTACAGAATGCAGCTGCTGGAGCCCTAGCCATGTTGACAGCAGCACATAAGAAACTCTGCTTCAAGATGACTGAAGTGGTGAGAGCGGCCCTGGGAGCAGCGCGGCCTGGGTGGGCTATAGGGACCTCTCCATCCTGAGATCATGAGACTGACCTGTATGAGCCTCTGGGGGGAGGCCAGACCCTCCTGTCACCCTCCCAGGGGGTATCTGATCCTACCACCTAAGGAGAGAGGGTCTATACTCTTCGACCAAGTGCTCTAACTCAGCTCCCTCCCACTGTAGTTTTTGATGGTGCTTATTACTCATTACTTAAGAATAATAACAGTAATGACAGCAACATTACCTACTGCTGTGGAGTGCCAAGCCCCCCAAGAGAAGTGTAGAAGTGGCTGGGAATACCACAGGGACCTTGTGGTTTGGTGAAGAGTAGACAGGATGATGAGAACTTGGGTGGGACTCTGGCTATCTCAGCAGGTGTACAGGGAGTAGTACTTGCCTGTGGGTGCAAAACGAAACTTTTTTTATTTCATCAAACTGAACTGAATTTATTTCATAGACCCCCATTTTGACTGATGGTGAAAAATGTAAATTTGTCAACTCAGATTTACTGAAGTTTGGCTGAAAGACAGGCTCTTTTAGTTAGTGAGCTTAAGGCTCTCTTTGTGTGTGTGTGTTCCAAGGGGGCTGATGTCCTGGCCCAGGGCACGGGTGCTTATCCTGCTTGGTCTTTAGCCTTAAAGCCGTGGTTCTCAAACTGGAACGTGTGTAAGAATCTCCTGGAGAACTTAAAACACAGCTTCCCTAGATACTCTAATTCAGTAGATTGGGAGTGAGATGCTTATGGCCTGGGGACTACCCTTTAAAAACCACTGGCCTGAAAACAGATCTGCTGAAGTAACTGTGGTTGCCTAACTCTGGTCAGCAGGTCCACGCAGGACACTCTGTGACTCCTTGCAGCTACTGCAGGCCGAGCATTGTTCTAAGTGTTGATATATATCAAGTTATTTAATCTTCTCATCACTTTTATCAGATGGGTATTAATATATCATCCCATTTGGCAGATTAAAAATACTGAGATATAAAAAAGTCACACAGCCAATTAGTTGGGGGAAGGATTGGAATCCTTCAGAATTAGTGGCCCACACTCCTGGCCACTTCTTTGTTCGTCCTGAGCGGCTCAGAAACCTTGGATCCATTCCGTCCTCAAGTAGGATCCTCCCTCGACCATTGCTTCTCTAGTCTCTGGGGTTACTCCTCTAGTATCCAACATGGACATCTTTGCATCTCAAATCACTGGAATACTCCCTGCAAAGCGGGGCTCAGTTCCTCCTGCCCTGGGATCTTATCCCTATTGGGATTTCTATCACTCTTTCCCTCCACTCCCAAGGACTCAACTCTGAGAACTACCTATTATCAGTTACCAACAAGCATCGCAACTTTCCATGAATCCTGCCACAGCCAGCTGAACTTTCATTTTCTTTCTTTATGGTAGGAAACTCAGTGAAGCATTTACATAACTTTGCACAGATGCTCAGGGCAAAGATTTACCTTTCCTCCCCCTCTCTGTATCTGTGTCCCTATTTGAGAGCAGTGTATATAGAAGTCTATCCATGATGAGAATGGAGGATGAGAATGGAGGATGAGAGTAACATGTACAAGGAAGCACAAAGGGAAAATCCTTGGATTAGTTCAGTGATTATCCCTGTCTGCTTCCACATGTTGATCTTTTACTTTGCTCCAGACCTGGCTAAACTCTTTCAATCCATCATCTTATCAGATCATCACAGTGTTAGGAGGTAGGCATAACAGATGACAGGGCTCCAGAGGCTGGGAGAGGTTAAACAACTTTTCTGAGGTCATACAATTGGTAAGTGCCTGAGCTGGGACTTAAACACTGGTCTCTATGACTCCACAACCCATGCTGATAACTATTCTACTCTGCATGGTAATGTTGGAGCCAACTGGTGTGTGAATATAAAGGTGAAGGCTGTTGTATTTGGAGGCTGGTTTGTGCTGTTCCCATCCCTTCTCTCCCATACCATACTATGTGTCTATTGAGTGATCTGAGTCAAGCCTCCTGGCTTTAATCCAGCTCTGTCTTTGGGTGATCAGAGTGTCTATAGCCCTGTCCCTCTATGCCCAGTTGGACAGCCTGACCATCTTCACAGTGAGGGATGGAGGAGACGGTACACGTCAGACTTTAGTGGTGACTCCAGTTGAAATCAAGGCACATGCCTAGGGCGTGCCTAGGGCCCACATCTCAAAGGGCACCTAGGTTGGCAGAGACAGGCATTCCCTCATGTGCCCAGGGTGACGACACTCCTTTCTGAACACCTTGCATCTCCATTCCACTCGGACATGCAGTGAGCCTGTTCCTGCCCTTCTCAAGGCACAACCAATGGATAGGTAGGTGGGTGTGTCTCCTCTACTACTTACCAGATGTGTGACCATGGCTAAATTACTTCCCATCCCTGGACCTCAGTCCATCCATTTGTCAAATGAAAGGGCTGAGATTATTTCAACTTTCTTCTAGCTCCCTGATTCCTGCCCTGGCTTTTGGTAAGGAGAGGGGCATCACCCCACTAATTCTCAGGGGCTCAAATAGGCATGTGGTGAGTACCAGGCCCAGATGACCAGACACATTCTTGTCCTTTGAGAGTCCAGAATCTGGGCCCAGCCAATGCCTTCTGTTTATCTGGTCCCCAATCTCCTCTCTCTGTCTCCCTACTGATCCCTCCAATCCTCTTTTCCCTACGTATTCCTCTCCAGACATCCCAGTGGTTAGAGATCCTACAGCGGCTTTGCCTGCACGACCGACTGTCAGTCCAGCACCGGGGCCTGGTCATTGCTTACAACCTTCTGGCAGCTGATGCTGAACTGGCCAAGAAGCTGGTGGATAGTGAGATGTTGGAGATTCTGACTATAGTGGGCAAAATGGAGCCGGACGAGAAGAAGGAGGTGGTGATTCAGACAGCGCGGGAATGCCTCATCAAGTGCATGGATTATGGCTTCATCAAACCAGTGTCCTAGAGAGGGCCCGCTGAGGCCTGGGGCTGGTCCTGTACTATGCAGAGGCCTGAGCTGGCTACTCCTGAATCAGTGTGGCTAGGGATCAATATAAGGGAAAGGCCTGAGTTCCAACTCTTATCCTTCGCCCTGGGAAAGTTTGGATGTTTCATTGGCTCTCTTGCTCCCTGCCTCTTTCCCATCTTTTATATTCCAGAAATTCCTAGAATAATTTTCACTTGTGATGGGAAAACAAGTTGGATGATTTTTCCTGAACTCCAGGATAATAGTTTTGTATTTTTGAAAATGGATTGCATAGTAAGCTTGGAGCCAACTGGTGTGTGAGTGTAGGATAATGCTGTTGTATTTGCATGCTGCTCTGTGCTGGTTTCCACACCCTCTCTCCAAACCATTTGAATAAGGCTGCTGCTCAGAGCTGTGTGTGTCAGCTGCAGTGCCCTGGTCCAGACCCCATGCCCATTCCCACCACTTACAAATGGAATATTCATTGCAAAACGCTGGACCTAATGGAATATCTAGTGTCTGATTCCATTTATATAGTTTCAAAGACAGACAAAAAAAAGTAGCCAATGGCACTAATAGGTTCCTGGTTGTCTGTGAGCAGGAGGGAGTGGGTAGTGATGGGAAGAGGCACAAAGACAGCTCCTAATTTTTGGTCTGTGTTCACTTTCATCAAGCCTAAGATCTGTGCATGTTTCATTTTTTAAAAAACTTTTAAGAAACGTAATGTGAGGATTACATAAAATAATGAATCTACTATCCCTGGTACTCAGTGTATGAACAGTTAATATTACCCAATTCCCTTCATTTGAACCCTTTGACATTCCCTGTTTCATTAAAATTAGAACGAAACGAAACCCACTGCCATCCAGTCCCACGGACTCATAGTGACTCCTCCTTGGGTTTCCAAGGCAGTATCACTACGGAAGTAGATTGCCCAACCTGCCTTCCAGGGAGTGGCTGGTGGGTTTGAACCTCAGGTCTTCTGGTTAGCAGTCAAATGCCTTAGGCACTATGCTACCAGAGCTCACTCTGTTTCATAGGGTAGGCTTAAAATATGCTATCAGAATGGGTGCACGTATTCAGGGATCTGTGCTTCACCAAGTCAGGGGAGGGTGGGGGATAAGGAGCTGGCGAGTAAGCCAGTTCAGACTTGCCAACTCCCCCAAGAAATAGTCATCTCTGCCTCGTGTCCAGGAGACATGAGGGTCCTGGTCAAGAGAGCTGGCAATGATAAAATGGAGAAGCAGGGGCACAGGCACCCAACTTTCCACATCTTGAGCTCCTGGAAAATATTTATGCGCTCTGTTTTCTGTGAACCCCAACGCCAGCGCTCGACATTATCCGTAGCCAAATCCTAGCTCCCTGGCGGGGTTAAAGTGCCTTAGACACAGTAATAAAAGAAGAGCGTGGGATAGACGCGGGGGGCAGGAGAGGGAGAGATTGACTAGACGTCCTGCCTCCTCCTGCCCCGCTCACACTCAGCCACAGCCTGGGACGGGAGTGGGCGGATCTGGGTGTTTCTGCCCGCCAATGCCTAGGGGCGGGGAAGGCGGGAAAGCGCTTTGGTGCCCTCTGCGGGTACAGCGGAGAACTCCCAGACTCTAAAAGGCGTAACCACCCGCGATAGCACGGCAGTGGTCTGTCCGGAGTTGGATCCCTGCTCCCACAGTTGCGGCGGTTGCCCGGTGTCGTCACCCAGCCTGGCACGAGGCGCGGCCTCTGGTGCTTGCGCGGCGCCGGCCTCCGCGCCGTGGGTTGGTGCGCGCTGGCGCCTCGAGGGAGACGCCCGCCGCATTTGGGTGGAGTAGAAAGGGTCTCTCCCTCTCTCAGCTCAGTTCCTCCGAGTTTGGCATCTCCCCACCCTCCTGGGTCTAGTCTTCTCCCAATCTCAGTAGCAAGGAGGAGGACCAACTGCGGTGGGCCCGGGCGTCGTTGCTGCTTCTTAAGCTCCAATCTCTGCAGTGAGTTCCCCGGAAAGACCAGCCCCGCGGGCCAGAAAGCAGAGGTGAGGGATAGAGGCCAGAATTCGCTGTTCGCGCTCGGGGAAGCCTTGAAGGAGGACACAGAAAGAAGGAAGTGGGATTTTGGAGTGATCAAGGAAGGCCGAGGCAGCCTGGAGGGAGTGGCAAAGTGCCGCTTTGGACAGACAGGTCCAGGGAATTCCCAGTCAGGTGCTGATCTGCAGAATTGTTGGGAGTCCCCGTCCTCAGGGTTCTGAGGCCATGCATAGGTGAGTGCCAGGAGCCGCAGGTACACACGCTGCGCTGCAGATGTTCCGAGAACTTACCAAGTACTCTCCGGTAAGATTTGATAATCATTAATTAGAGAGAGCTCTGGTAGCATAGTGGCTAAAGCACTTGACTGCTAACCAGAAGGCTGGTGGTTCAAACCCACCAGCCACTCCTCGGAAGGAAGGTTGGGCAATCCTACTTCCGTAGTGATACTGCCTCGGAAACCCAAGGAGGGGTCGCTATGAGTCGGGGCCGACTCGACGGCACATAACAACAACAACAATTAGAGAGAGAATACAGTATAATCCCAAGTGCCTCGAGGAAGGACACATCGACCACCTCCTTCTCCTATGTGTTCCAGGTCTGTGAGCTTTTTCTCTCAGTCCTGAAATCCAAATCCCAAAGTAACTAAATGCCAATTCCTTCACTTTATAAATATGTAAGACTTAATGGGCAACAGCCGTATTATAAGCCATGGTTCTGGAATCAAGGCAAAGTGGGTGAGTTTTGGGTCTTGGTTACAAATAAACTCCTGAGATTATTTACAAAGGGTTGTATCCCCAGGGACTGACTACCTGTGACCAACGTCTTGAAAGCCTTTGTAGAATACCACTGTTGGACAGAGTGGGCGGTACTCAGGTTAGCCTACAGAGTTCCATAAGGGAGGTCAATCGAACTCCTGTAGTTACCACTCCCTAAGGTGAAAGGAGATTTCCTCTCCTATCTGTTCTTGGTGGTTGTGGGAGCTGGAGAGGAATCCTCAGACAGGAGGTGTTGAAAGTTGCACTAGTGATGGGGAAAGTGCTAGAACTCTGTTCAGTATAAATTAGACTGCTCACATGGATTTGTAAGGTTTTTTTTAAGGTAGTTTTAATACACACCCCAGGACATCCACCTGCATAAAGAGCCAAAGAGTAGTTCCTGTGACATTCTGCCTTTCTCTATGCAGTCCTTAGAATTCCACCACCAAGCTTGAGGACTTCACCTGCACAGAATTTTAAGTGTTAGATTTTCGTGTAAGACTCTTGCTGTAGCATGATTAGTTGTGATCTGTGAGTCATAACCGTCAGTGGCTACCAATTAGACCGAGGTTGTAACGCCATTTTTACTTTATATACAATAAAGAATCTTTGTAAATAAAATCTTAACATTAAAAACAAAACTCGGTAGACTGGAAAAGAATGGAGGAGCAACTGCTGCTTGGCTGAGTTTGTGCTACCACTAGGTGGCAGTAATTAACAGTATCAACTGGGAACAAAGCAAAAAATAAAAACCTACTACCATCCAGTACGCTCTGGTAGCATAGTGGCTAAGGCACTTGACTGCTAACCAGAAGGCTGGCGGTTCAAACCCACCAGCCACTCCTCGGAAGGAAGGTTGGGCAATCTACTTCCGTAGTGATACTGCCTCGGAAACCCAAGGAGGGCTCGCTATGAGTCCGGGCCGACTCGACGGCACATAACAACAACAACAACCATCCAGTCCATCAACTCATGGCATGCCCATTGGGTTTCCAAGGCTGTAAATCTTTAGGGAAGTAGATTGCCTCATCTTCCTCCCACGGAGCAGCTGGTGGGTTTGAACAGCAGATTGAATGTGGCACCTCCCCATCCTCCCAGCTCTAGTCTTTGGTTAGAAGCCAAATGCCTTACCCAGTATGCCACCAGAGCTCCCCCACCGTGCCAAGGATAAATTTATAAAACACAGATTCCATCCAAGACCCAGTTTCTATGATGCGGCGGGAAAGGTCTGCAGTAGGATGTATACACATCTCTCACCACTTTCCAGAAAATTATACTTTAATAAAATTTTTTTTTTAATTGTGATTTGGGTGAAAGTTTACAGAGCAAATTCACTTTCCATACAGCGGTTCACACACAGATTGTCTGATGACACTGACAGTTTACCCCAATGCAACACCTCCCCTCCCACTTCCTCCGGATAGTTACCTCTTCCCTGTGTCCATCCCTCCAAACACTTCTGCCCCCTGAACTGTCTCCCTGTGCATTAACAGCCTTTAGTAAAACTTTTTAAGATATTATCTATTTACTTCCAGAAGATCTAGCTCAGTTACACTCCCTGCCCACCCTGCAGCTTCCACATGCTGTCCATATGGCTGTATCACTATTTTGGGTTGGAAGGATGTTCAGTGTTTACTTTGTTATAACTTCCTCTAGTCCCAGTGTGCTAGATGATATACTATGATGCATTTCATTTCTTGTGCAATTTCCTGCTTTACGCAAGAGTAATAATCATTTTATTTTCTCTTTGTTTAGTTTTCTGTGGATCTAACACTAATTTATCTTCAAATTCTGTTTCCTACAAAGAAATCTTTCTTTTTCCCCCTTCGGTTAGCACATCAAGTATGCCATCAGTCTCATGTTCCCAGGTGGGATTTCGCCGGAGCCCTCTTGCCCATGTATCCTGAGGGGGCTCTCAGTAGGCCCTCCCTTCACTCCTCCTGGGCTCTCCTTTCACACATATTCCAGGAGGTTCTTTGCTTCTCTCCAGGGCTGAATCGTTGTTTCCAGGATACAGCTTGTAGGAGTACAGTGGGGAGACGTGGCAGGGCAGTGCTGGGGCACAAAAGTCTCCCTGATCGCAGTACAGTTGCATATGGCACAGGGTTTTAGAACAGAGTAAGGGGGTGGTGTAGCTTTCTACTTTTCAGAGGCCAGAGATTGGCAGTGGCTTCATTGTTGGTCATTCACAGATGTTTCTCAACCCTGCTGGGTGACTGCAAAGATGGCAGATCTGCATGTTCTTCAC